AATTAAATTCCCAGGAGGAATAACAATCATCCCTCCACAAACTGCTTTTCTTCTTCAGAAGCCCCATGCGACTTTTAATTTTACTCTGAACTATCCGATCTACAAATTACAAGACAGAACTAACGAGTTGAAGGATCAAATGAAGGCAGGACTACTACTCAATCCATACGAGGTTAGTTGTACCTTCTGGCGTTTCTTTGTGTTTGTCTGCATTGTGTGTTCAATTTGATAGAATCAAAAGATGAAGCATATGTACATGTGAGATTTGTTCATTTGATTCTTCTAACCTTCATTATGCCAAAAGCTTAGGCATTTGGTGATTATGGCACTCCAAAAGTCTATGCATATTTATGCAAAATTTGCATACAAGTGATGCATATAATCTTGTAGATGTATTGCAATCTCTGATGAAAGTTTCTGTCGTTTACTTATTCATTTGCTGGCCACGTGTTCAAATAATCCTGTGAATATGGAACCCATGTACTGTAGGCATATGACACCAGTTCACATACTATCACACATATAGCTACATCTAGGGTTGCCCTTAGTATTTTTTTAAGCTTTGACAAGCAATATGCCAATATCTATAAAAACATATCGTCTTAAATGAGAAGTGTTAAACACTATAACTTTTTTTCCATCATAAATATAGTAATGTCAAAATTTTGCTGTCAATCTATATAGTCAAAGTTAAAAAAAGTTTCACTGAGGACAAACCTAGATGGAGTTATATTTGTGATCGCAAGAAGTAAAAAAGAACGAAGCACAAATAGTTGTTTGTACCTTCTTTTTTTGTTTTTGTGTGGTGCTTTGGACTTGTCGTTCTATTCTAAGCCAAAAGAAAAATTGAGAAGGGAGGAATCGCCTAGTAGTAGTATATTCTCTTTCCTTTTCCTGTCAATTGAGTTTCAAATATTTTGCATTGCAGAATCTGTATATCAAATTGACAAATTTGCAAGGTTCAACGATTCTCCCTCCAACAATTGTTGAGACCTCCATTGTCCTCGAAGTTGGAAATCACCAGCCATCTGTACCAAGGATGAAGCAGTTGGCACGGACAATTACCAATTCATCTTCATCCTCGGGAAACCTGGGTCTGAATCATACAGTATTTGGAAGGGTAAAACAGATTAGCCTTTCATCCTATCTTAGGCATTCCTTACATAGTGGAGGAGGTTCTGATGCACCGAGTCCTGCACCCATGCATCATCATGGTCATCACGGCCATCATCACCATCACCACAGTCATGACGACAACAGGCAACCAGCTTCTGCTCCCGCTCCAATACATTTTCCTGTGCCGCAACCCAGATATAGTGCTCCACCTCCATCTGGATGTCCATACAGCAAAAACAAGCCAAAGAAAAGGGGGCCTGTTACACCAGCTGCTGAGCCTGCAGCTAATGATCACCGATCTCCTTCCATTGCTTTACCGCCACATCCATCGTCACCTTCGCCTGCTAGTCCTCGACATGGTCCCAGTATGCAGGGTGGATCTCCTGTTCCTCCCCTCCTGCTCTACCAGAGCCACCTTTGCCCACCGTTCGCGTTTGCTCATCCACATCCTCCAAGTGAACGTGGAACAGGGCAAGTCCTGCTCCAAGTGAAGAGGCAACACGAGCAGATCCTGCTGGGATGTCACAAGTGGCACCTGCACCTCATTCATGTGAGTTCCTTTTCCATTTATGCTTTTGCAACTGTTGTAGATTGTTATCTGAAAAGGCACTTAGTTTATCTGCTCTAGAGTAGAGTACGCATATAGGAAGTAAAACATTGTGCAAAGATTAAGAAGTCTAACGTTATATACTCACACGAGGGTTTGAACAGTTCATTCAAGTATTTGTCCCACTTAATCACAATCTGTGCTTGTAAGGATAAGGCGATATATTCCTTCACTTAATCCCACACCTGATCTTATTGCCTAGTGGCATAATTAGTTGAGGTTAAATTGGCAAGTTCTTCTATTTCCCTGTTAATACTGTTTACATCAACTGTTACATAATAATTGTTAGGAAGAGGAAGTTTAGTTTTTCCATGATGGCATATGGTAATACCAAGGGAATCCGAGTTGTACTTTTGTTTTCGGAAACTGGCATAGGGTGATAGTTATGGTTAGTTCAACTACTGGAGAATAATGAAGTGCTCCATTTATTTTCCAACAACGATAGGTAGGAAATCATATCGCTGACAAGCTAACAGTAAGACGCCATGGTGTTGACATATAGTACAATAATACAGTGAGCCCATCAGGCCATGAAGGGCACTCGTTACCATGTTCACCTCATTGATACCAAAGTAGCCTCTTCGCTGACTACATGATGTTTGTGGTATTGCAGCTTATGCCACCAGGATGCAGGGCGATGTTCCCTGCAGCTGGGTCCTTTTTGTCCTCGCTTTATGCACCCTAACGAGCCTGCTACGATGAAGGAGGTACGTGGCCGGCCAACCAGATGTATATCAGCAACCGCCGCGGCCACCGCCTTACATGGTCAGAAGAGAAGAGGACGCACGGGGCTCCACCGGCGGCATATCTGGTTCTGGCCTGGCCAGGCGGCCATCAGCTCCCGGGGGTGGGTGGGCAAAAGAGGCCCTTCTCCCCTCGGCGGGCTGTCACACTCTCTTTGCTAGTTTTCAGTTGTCACTGCATGTAAATATGGGGGGATGGGATGGGTATAAGGCAAGGCAAACCGCAGGACGGGCGGCCGTGCGTCGTGGTCAAAGCCACATGGGGTGGCAGGCCCTTGTGTAGCGCGCGCCTCTGCCCGCCCTGGGTCTGCCGCCGTGTGTGTAGTGTACTCCTGCTGCTGATGCTGAAGCTGAACACGGCAGAAGCGGGCTCGTCAAGTGTAAAGACCTGCAGTTTCGTGGAGGTTCGTTTCGCATCCATCCACGCTCAGTTTTGCTGTGCTATCCTATCTTAACCTGCAGTGTTTCATGGTGCTCTGATCAGACTGTGCTTAATGCCGTAGAATGAAATCGTCGAGCTCTGTGATCAGTGGTCACGGCTCCTTCCGTTCCATGCATGCATGCTAGTAGTAGAGAAGCTGCTGCAGGAATACATTGGTCCTGTTTGGTGTAGCTTATAAGCTGCTTGTATGGTCAAAGTAAGCTGAAACAAACAGGCAAACAATATACTTTTTTTCCAGTTTTTTTTTCTATGATCTTATTTTGACCGTGCTTTTTCTTCATTTGTGCACCCTTGTTTTGACTGGTCAAAGTAAGTTGATTGTATGGTTCTATGAGAAAGTAGTAACGATTAAGATTGTTAAAATCGTGATTCTGAGTCGAAGCGGAACTTCTAACAATTTTAAGATCATAGAGTTGTAGGGTCATAACTGCTAAAATCATAAAATTGTAAATTCAGAGTCTTAACAATCCGTAAGTTCTATTTAATAGAATCGTAGAATCAACTTAGGTTAAGACATAACATCGGCTTACCTTAAAAGCCGGCTTATTCGGTTTTTTTTTCAGCCGAAACAATGTTTTTCTCTCATAATATTTCAGCTTTGGTTTGTTTTTTCAGCCAATTTTAGACAAGCGAACGGGGCTAAGATGATAAAGTTGTAATGTCAACTAAGATCGTTGAGTCGTACAATCAAGCAATAGAAGTATAAAAAATAGAACTGAGATGTTATCAATAAATGGCTAAAAACTGAGCTAAAATCTTTTACTCCTATAGAGGTCATAAACTGGGTAAACCCTATCGGGGCAGGTGATACCCCTCGCCGCTTGCATGCATGGTTGTGTATAGATAATTAAATGAGGACAAATCAGTCATGATAGATTAGAGGACTAAAATTTAGCCCATGAATCAAACAACCCAGCAGGACTAAAGTTTAGGGACTAAATTTTAGAGGCTAAACTTTAGTCCTTAGACTAGTGATCCAAACAACACCTGGCTACATCACCAAACCAACAGTGCAGCGCGGGCGTGGCAGCTATAACTGGCCCCGTTACGACGATAACTCGCTACAGGACAGTAGGACACACAGGAGTGTCTGGTTCTGATAGGGCCCGTTCGCTGGTCTAGTAAAACCAGACCAGCCGTCTGATCATTCTCAGCGAACACTGTTTATTTATCAGCCGCTACATTATTTATTTCTCATAAATTTCAACTAAGTTTCAGACCAACGAACGGTGCCAGAGTATCCGAGTATAGGTCAGTTGGTTGCCTGCTGAAAATGACCATCGCGCCCTCGCTACCCGCGTCAAGCCTAGCCCAGCCCATTCTGACGTTTGCCTGTGCCTGAGCACCGACTACCGGCTGTGTTTAGTTACCAAAAAGTGCTGTAGTAGTCATTACATTAAATCTTACGATACGTGTATGGAGTATTAAATGTAGATGAAAAAAAATTACACAGTTTGGTTGGAAATCGCGAGACGAACATTTTAAGTTTAATTAATCTATAATTAAATACTAATTACCAAATAAAAACAAAAATACTACCATAACTAAATTCCCAAATTTCACGAAGTAATCACAGGCCGAGCACCTTTGCTCCGGCATGTAATGGCGGAGGACACACCGGAAACCGGATCGGAGACCCCACCGTCCCCACGCACCTGCCCGCCGTCGGCCAGCGAGCTACATTAACGCCTCCTTAAAAATTGCCGTCGCTCTCTCGTGCTGCCATCCATCAGCGTGTTCGCTTGCTCGTAAATGATCGTAAATTTCCAACCAGAAACAGTGTTTTTTTCTCACACCAAACCAGCCAGCCGTAAATAATTCACGATACGATACGGCCTCCCGAACAGGCTGCATGTCCATCTCCATCGTACTACAGTGAAGCATCCAGCTACACCCACCTCGCACGGACGGGACGGGACGGGACGGCGCACTCCGAGCTCCATCCAATCCAACCACGCATCCATCGCACCCGGTCCATGCCCGCGTCGTCGTCCATTCTATTCCACTCCAAGTACAAAAACGCCGCCTCCTTCCCTCCCTCCCTCCATCCCTCACGGCTAGCTCGCTCCTGCGCCAGCAGCGCAGGCCCAGCATGCCGGCCGGCGGCTCGTCGTACCTGGCGACCATGGGCCGCCGGAGCTTCTCCTACCACAGGCTCAAGAAGCTCCCCGCCGCCGCTCCCTCTCCTCCTCATCCTCCCGCCACGACGGCCCCTACCACCGGACTCGAGCTAGGAGACCCGCCGTGCGCCGCGGCCTCCGCCGCCGCCATCGAGGAGTCGTACCGGTCCTACTACCGCGCGCTGGTGGCGAGGGGGACGCGGCAGCGGCGGAGGCAGCAGCCGTGGCGAGGCGGCGGCAGGCCGCGGCGCCGCCTGAGGGCCTGGGGTGCCCTGGCGCGCGCGCTGCGGCGGAGGGCGGCGGCCGCCGGGGCCCGGGTGCGCGCGTCCGTCGCCAGGGTGGCGCGCCGGCTCAGGGACGGCCGGCCCTACGTCGGGGACGTCTTCGCCGGGAACTACATGTTCCTGCAGGTGTCGCCCACGATGGCCGGGGGCGGGGCCGACGGCAGGGCGCGCGGCGCCGTGGTGCCCTTCGCGGAGTACTACTACGGCTGTAAGGCCAGGGCCAGGGCGGGCGCCGGCGGCGTGCAGCTGCACCCTGCAGCCGCTGCTGGGGTGCTCTACAAGGTGTAGCGTGTCACTGCAACTCCACTGTTCGGCGCTTCGTTTGCATGCGTGATGTCAAAACATGTGTTGTGCATTCGAGTCACCTATGGATGACTTGGTCACTGGCCTGGTGGTTTAGCGCGTGTTTAGTTGCTACCCTAAGATTAAAAAAAAAAGTGCTACAGTATTTATCCCATCGAATCTTGCGATACGTGTATGGAGCATTAAATATAGACGAAAAAAAAACTAATTGTACAGTTTAGTTGGAAATTACGAGACGAACGTTTTGAGCCTAATTAGTCCATGATTAAACATTATTTATCAAATAAAAACAAACGTGCTACCGTAGCTCCAAAATTTCAAATTCAGGGAACTAAACACGCTGTTAGTGTTGAAATATGGGGTAAATAAATGTTGTTGCTCAGTTTGGATTGGATTTTTTTTTCTTTTTGGTTTCGCCAGTGCTTGTTGAAGGCTCCGTCGTAGGCCCAAGTGGCCATTATATATACCATAATTGCAATGCAATGCCAGAATTGTGCTCTTGTTTAGTTCCTCCAAATTTCTGAAAAGTGCACTATAAAAAAGAAGATTTCTCGTCACATCAAATTTACGGTACATGCATGAAGTACTAAATGTAGACGAAATAAAAAACTAATTACACAGTTTGCTTTAACTTTGCGAGACGAATTTTTTAAGCCTAATTAGTCAATGTTTAGATAATAATTCACAAATACAAACGAAATATTACAGTAGGGAATCTTCGCAAACTTTGTCAACTAAACACCGCCTGTACGATGAAATGGAACTCTGTGTGTGTGTGTGGACGGGTGCAGATAGAGATAGCCATTGTCTGACTGCTCAGTTTAACTGACAGATAGCCAACTGATGGATGGTACTGGTACACACGTGTGTGACTCGCATACTAGTAGGAATAGGATAAGGCCAAATCAGCGAATTTGGCGCTACGGAAAGAGCTTCGTAGGCAAGGAGGGGAGGTGGCGTGTTTCGGTGACGGGCGACGGCATTCGTTCCACTCGCGCCCAAGAGTTCAGCAACCGCGTCTCCCTTCGCCGAGATGCCGTGCCAGTGGCACCCTAGCCTAGCGGCCTCAGAGTCAGATGCATCTCGGAATCGAACACCTGGGATGGGAGGGATGCCTGACGCAGGCAAGGTGTCTGGCGCCGGCGTCGCTCCAGACGTCCGAATCCGATTTCGGACGCGGTCAGTGTCGCGGGTCGGTGTCTGAGTCTGACGGACGGGTAGTTAGCGGGCGGATGCCTTGATTGCAAGACAACGATACTCATCGGCTTCCCAACAACTCATGTTCATCCATCCAGCGATACTCCCCGCTGCGGTTGGCGACCTGGCAGGGCACGCACCCGGCTGCAGGCTGCCACCAAAAAGCTACTCATAGATAGATAGATAGATCTGGTGTCTTCGTCCCAAGGCCCCAGCTACCGGATCCACTGGCGCCCACGGGCGGGCCATGGCACAGCCATTCCGAGTTGTTCCTGTCCTGATGCGCCACCTCCTATCCTAACTGCTTCATTACTCATCTGCACTCCTGTGAGTTGTTACCCAACCATTCTGTTCTGTCCAGCCATCAAAATCAGCCATGCTGCCTGCTGCCCCCACTAACCATGTCCTGAAACTTCTTTCAGATCATGGTGGCGCAGTCAGTGACCATGGATCGTTTCGTTCGTCAGGAAATGATGCGGCAAATAAAAGACTGTCACAGTAAACCACAGCGAATTCTAGCATGAAAACTGGCTGTCAGTTAGAGGAGGTAACAATTGAATGAATCGGCAAGTCTTTGTGTACAAGTGATTCTGATCAAGGTACAAACTGCTGCTACGGCCTATGGCTGCTGCAATGAATTACACAAGGTGACGAATCTCCAAGAATGTGAAAATTTGAACAAAGAGGGTACACGGGTCTCTCCCCAGGCCCTGACCTCACTAGCTGCCTGAGGGGGTAGGGGAGCAGAGGAAACAATGTGGTGACGGTCAATTATCCGACAAATATGTACCGAGGACCGGATGGCGTGGTATGGTCATAACAGCTGCTGGCCTTTTGTCAATAAGGTTTACTGTGCTTGTTGTTGTTTTCTCTCTTGAGTTGTACTTTGAGTTTTTTACCGCCTAATTGGTACCCGTTCATCCTATTGATGGCTGCCTGTGCAGAAGCAGGAGAATCGTAGCTCACAAAACCTACCAGCCAGGTCATATGAATCGGTTAGCAAAGTTAGCGAGCTGTGCACCCAAAGATAGAGAGGGTGGGGGGGTTTACCGAAGCATTTGCTGACGCCCGTTGCTTTGTCTACAAACACCTTAGCACTTAGTACTCTACCAAAACTCTGAAAGGCACTGGAAAGCTCTTGGTCACCATAGTCTTGTGGGATATGATAAATAAATAGATTGGCTCCAGGAGGACCTGTAACATGATAATTAGGTTACATAGGTTTTAAAACACAATACAGTATCGGTTATAAAAGTGGTAGACAGATTAATTGATTGTATAATGGGTTATGGTCCTTATGGATTTTGATAGCACAACTATTATAAATAAGGGCTACCAATCATTTTTGTCCTACGTACTAATGTACATTTTTGTGAAACAAAGGATCGTGCACATCATGCTAGAAAATGTACATGTTTGCTAGAAAACTTAACGTTGAGACTTTTTTTTTTTTGGGGGATACTTATCGTTGAGACTTGAGAGACAAAAAGTACATGCTAATGACTACATCAACTCTCTGGCGAATAGTCTCTCTCCCTTTGCACAGAATAGACATACATAGAGTATCGAATGTGGCTAACCTTCAACCTGCCCACCGGCATTGCTGCTGGGACTAGAAGAAATGGTGGGATTGGCATTTGAATTTGGAACTCTAATTGAAATTGAGTTGTGAGAATTTCCAAAAGGACGATTGTTCATGGGACCACCAGGATATGACCCAGGATACTGCATACCAGGGATAGCAGGATAAGGGCTCCCTAACTGCATTGCATTAAATGACCTTTGAACTGAACTGGGAGACAGTTCAGGATTGACTCCTCTTATCGAGTTCCCTTGATTAAGAGGTTGAACCATATTCTGGAAGGGGCCTTGATTTTGCATAGGAGATAGAGGGTACTGCATAAGTCCGTATGTTCCTGGTGGCTGCACAGGAAATAAAACACACTACATTAAATTTGATGTTGATCATCATTTACGGCAAAGATTTCAGTTTTTGGAGTTTCCACATATAACATGTATTATTTAAGAATCAATATAATGACAAGGGAGTAAAGCTAACAGTTTCAAAAAAATTGAATGGAATAGTTCTTTTCTGTTTGCAACATATGTTTACCAAAGAACAAGCAGGAAGCAATCCAAATACTGCAGATGGTATGTTATGAGTGAGAAGAACAAAAAAAAAGGCGGACCCAGTGCCGGAGGCTCCCACATGAGTGGGGTCTGGGGAAGGGATAAACCGAGACATGCCTTTCCCCCGCAAAATCTGCGGAGAGGCTGCTTCGAACCCATGACCTAGTGACTCAGTGAGACAGCTCTCACCACTGCACCAGGCCTGCCCTTCATGAGTGAGAAGAACAGAAATTAACAAATCATATGTTATGAACAAGGATTGGCGGAGAGAATTTGTGAAGAAAAAAAAACTTGAAAGCAGAATACCATTAGAAGAGTGCTGCTCTTGGTATAACTATTGAGCATTTTCTATGATATGGCTGTAAAATGTAAAAAAGGCTAAAAGAACAGCAGAAGACACCTGATAGCCAAATCCATTGTATTGAGGCATATATCCCATCTGTAAAGCTCCAAATACTGAAGACTGATGCATTGGACTTGCATTGGGCATATTAGATAGCTGTAACTGAGCTTTTTGTGCCTTCCGAGCCTGCCTTTCCTTTTCTGTATCGGCCCATTTGACAACCAACGGCACACTAGAACCCTACAAAATATATTAGAGCTTGTTGGAATATGTACAAAAAAACATGGGTTTCCTAAAGAAACCCAGAAAATTCATATAGTAAGTGTCAAATGGGCTATCTGAAAATGCAAAAAAGTGCTTTAATTCATAATAATTTATGTACAAATTGAATAATAACAATATAATAATTAAACAGCCATAAAATTCAGGCTTTGCCGCATCCCCAGCTATTCATCACACCATATGGAAAGTTAGAATTTAAGTCAGGTAGGATTCACGGTAAAAAAAAAAAACAGGTAGGATTTTCTAGGAAAATTTAGGACAACTTAAAGAAATTAAGGGTTAGTGTGAATAGATTTGCTTACTTAGACAATCAAACTAAATGAAATAATTGCAGAAGTGGCTGAAAACTGGGTGGCTACAAAAGTCCAGAAATTTGACTAGAGTGAACATAAAATTGTTACTTCAGACTGTTGGACAGTAAATAAAATAAATAATTCAGTCTAAGCTACGAGCCTATATGATATAAGATCTAAGTAATCAAGAAATATATAAAAAAGCGATTTGATATCCAAACTCATTTTTGACAGACCTCTATTTTGTGTTTCCCGTTTAGAGCTTCAATAGCTGCCAATGCTTGATCTTTTGTTTGATATTTAATGAAGGCACAGCCAGCTGCAAAGAGCAAAGTTAACTGACAATATACACTTGAGGCAATGCTTATCATTCTATTCATAAGGAAAGCAACTTCTCTGCAGGATATTACCTTTGCTTGTCTGTTGTGAACCTCTCAAAATTTGCAAATCCTTGACATTCCCATAATTGGAAAACAAATCAGTCAACTCAGTGTCCGTAACATTTTTCGGAAGCATTCCAATGAAAAGCTTATGTTCTGGAAGTCATGACAAGTATAAATATGAGTGCACTGTTTGGATATCAGTAAAAAACAGACAACAATGTCTTGAGCAAATATCCCCATACAAAATCGCTGGCAAAGAGAAAGTTCTACTTAAACAGTAATCATACCCAGCCTCTCCAACTCTCCATCAGCATATTTTACTTGCAAAGGACTTGATGCCTGAGTTAAATAGAAACA